AAGTTAGAGGATAGAAGATAACGCTGCAATATTTCTAAAATTTTAAAATTTTAACGCAGTTCGAACTTGATAGTTTCGTATAATTTGAGGAACCACAAAAAGAACCGTTGGATTTATCAATGTCAGGAATGTATGAACGACGGATTGGACCGTCAGATCTATCAGCGCCTTATGTGAGAGAGGAACAAATAGAATTCAACGAAATTGATCAGAATGACGCAAGCTCGTTGAACGCACCAATTCAAGAAGTGAGAAGGGAACAAACAAGTATAGGAAATATGCCGAAGAAAAAGTGGCTTAAGAGGTATCAAAATGAAACGTCCAACGAGAGATATCAAAATGAAACGTCCAACATCCAAACAATCGAAAGGAAACAGTCCAAAGGAAACAAAGGTAACATCAAAAGAAAGCATCCAGAGCGTTCGACTCACACGGATGAAAAGCGGTTCAAATGCGAAACATGTCTGGTGAGCTTGGCTTATCTATCGCAATTGCTTAAACATATGAGGGTTCATACCGGTGAGAAGCCGTTTTCTTGTCCGGAATGCACGAAGAATTTCACCGAGAAAGGGAGCTTGCATAAACATATGAGGATTCATACCGATGAGAAGCCGTTTTCTTGTCCGGAATGCAAGAGGAATTTCACCGAGAAAGGAATTTTGCTTAAGCATATGATGATTCATACCGGTGAGAAACCATACAATTGTTCAAATTGTGGGATGAATTTCACCCAGAAAGGGAATTTGGATAAACATATAAGGAGGATTCATAGCGGTGAGAAACCGTACAGTTCTTCGGAATGTGGGATGAATTTCGCCGATTCATCAAGTCAGCTTAGGCATTCGAGGACTCACACTAATGAAAAACCGCACGCTTGTTCTGTGTGCAATAAAAAATTCTCGCAAAAAGGTAATATGAAACTTCACATGAAGATTCATAACAATGATAGGCGCTGATTCAACTGCCCCGTATGCAGCAAGGCTTTTCTGACGGAATCTAATTGGGAAGAACGCATGATGAATTGCGTCTTGAATGAAATTATAGACGCATTTTTAA